CAGCATGAAAAACAATAGTTTTATTCAGTGGATTATATAGGCTGTAGCCTCAAAGCACAGCCAAGAGCGCTCCCTTTACAATCACTAAAAACGCTGTTGCTTTGTCAGTTCATCGCGATCTCACAAAGTTCCGTTATAATAAATGAAGCTGCCAACAATACTCAATGAATCTCTTACTTGCATTGTGTCTACACTTTGTTTGTTAATGAGAGGTTTTGCAAGTCTGCATAACTCAGCACTGAATAAAAACTCTGACTTTTTGAATGGATTCTGACTAACTTAAACACATCTGATTGGCCATTGCGTTCAAGGGATCAACAACTATGTCTGTGATTGGCTACATTGCTCACCGCTGCAAAAACATGTTGTAAATAGATTCATTTGACATTCTCAAGAGCGCAAACCCAAATCTGTTTTGCCAATATATTGCGTTTGAGGGTGCTAAGCACCCTATAGCACCCGCGCAGAAACGGGCCTGACACAATACCGCAAAACTCTTGGCCCATGTGCACTGACATTAGTTTTCCAAAAACCGTCCTTTTTTGTGCTTCTGACAGTTTGAAATCTATGGAAGCTCGTCTCCACCACAAAATAAAACATTTTTAAAGATAATTTCGACGACTTATCTTACAATCCTGACACTTTTTCTCGCAATTGCCAGTTTAGATCTCACAATTCTGACTTTGCGTGATATAAAGTCGCAATTGCATGTTATAAAGTCCATTTCTGAGGGAAAAAAAGACTGACTTTTTTCTCAGAATTGTGAGTTTATATCTCGCAATTCTGACTTTATTTCTTGCAATTGCGACATGTCACGCTATTCTAACTTTATAACTCATAATTGCGAGTTTATATAACGCAATTATGAAATAAAAAGTCGCAATTATCTTTTAAAATGTTTTGTTCTGTAGCGGAAACAAGCTTCCATAGAAATCATAGCTGATTTAGTCTGTGATTTACAGGAAACCGAGATATCAGTTCAGTTCTCCAGCAATTGCAACTCTACAATCACTTATTCTCCTGAATGACTCAGTTACATCACTATGACATCCTATCAGCCCAGGGGTGCGTTTCCCGTACAACGACGTAAGTCGCTGCTTAACTACCATAGTACGTTGAAGAAATCAACTAGCTAGTCACGACTGTTTGTACCATATGTCATATGTCGCAAAGTGGTGTTCAACCACATTGGTTTATGACGTCACGCACGTGGTGGAGTAATAACTTATTTTAATTAAACTGTTTGAGATCGAATTAATGCTAGATGTATTGATATAAATTACAGACATGGCATCTGAGGAATATTTCAAATTTTTCTCAGTTATTTCGCTTTATTTACAGATTTAATCATAGGCTCGTTCTTACATAGTAGAGCACGTTCGCACGTATGCGCAGTCTTCAAAAACGGTGCTTTACATATCTTGACAAACTCAAAGATGTCAAACACATTTGTATGTATTCTAAATAAAAGACACAGGTTGTACTGAATGTCAGCTTGCTTATTCTGCTCAAGATACGGATTTATTAAGTCCACATGTCATGCAATTTAGAAACTATGCTTCTAACCACAGCTCGAGAGCTGTCGTTCCAACCACACAACTTTGCGATGCTGTTTGCGAATGTTCGTTGGAACGATGGTTTCGGGAAACACCGACTCGTTGAACTATGCTGATAACGACAGAACTTGCGACCATAGTTGGCTAACGATGCTTTCGGGAAACGCACCCCAGATAAAGAGGAGACTCTTGTCTTGTCCAGATTTAGGGACCTTTTCTAAGGTATGATTTTGTGTGTTTGTGTGTAGCTGCTTAACCATATTTTGGGGCCAAATTTGTACCCAGAGCTTTATTTGACAACCCCATTTTGGAGACATTCTTAAACAGCAATATATTCACAAAATGTTTTATTTTAAACTCTCATTCTGACCCCGAAGTGTCTAAAAGGATCCTTTTTAAGGGGGTGACACCTTTAATGCTTTTCAATGAATGGCCACTTTAATGATTGGCTGACGTCATAGGAAAAAGTATCCAAGTATCCACGATGTTTTGAAAACATATAGCAAAGATAAAGCATCAGAGATTGTTTACTTGCTGTTTGCGATGTGCCAACTCTCCATTACACTCTCATTTTTACAAGATAATCTGCAGTAAAATGCTCAGAACAAACATAATCCTCCGACACAGTCTGGGACGCCATTAAAAATAAAGCATCCATCCATTTGTTCCTGATGCTGGGGTCCTTCTTAAGTCTGTACAGAGACAGAAACCAGATGTTTAAACCAGACATGTCAGAGCGAACATTCTTTTGCTCTTACTTTTTTCCTGTTTTTAAGTATTTCAGAAACTGAACGGGTATTTGTATACTGTTATATTTTTGAAGCAATGCAATGTGTAAACCGGTCTCAGCTATTAAAGGTATAGTTCACCCAAAAATGAATAATTAATGAAAGAAATGTCATTTTTGGGTGAACTATCCCTTTAAGCGACTAAACGCCAGTGGGTGGAGCCTATGTTGTGATGGTGTAAAACGATTTGTCGATGTCCTGCTCTAGAGGCAGTCAAATGCAAATGTATTTGCCCGTGTGACGTCACAAATCCCACAATATCCAACTACACCGTTTTTGTAGCTTGGTTACATAAATGCTCTTTTTGTAAATGAAGAGGATGTTTAAAGCATGAGACTTCCAAGATGTTCTAATGCTACGAAACCTCTTGCTAAAAGATCAAGGAAAATCTCATTTCTCATGTCATGACACCTTTAAAAAAATGTAAAAATGCAGAAAGTTTTTTGGGTAACGCTTCCTTTTACAGTACAGTACTTACGTGTACTTACAGTGTACTTACCTAGAAAGTACTGGCTAATATAAGGTAAGTACATGGGTTAGGAGTAGGTTTAGGTAGGTAGGTTCAGGGTTAGTACCTAGTTATTACCCAGTAATTATAATTACTATAATAAGTACATAGTAAGTACATGGGTAACAGGACTGTAAAAGGAAGCGTTACCGTTTTCTGTTAGTGTAAGAGTTTGGGTTAATGCATAGTTATATCATATAAAAGAACAATAAACATCTACACTCACCGGCCACTTTATTAGGTACACCTGTCCAACTGCTCGTTAACACTTAATTTCTAAGCAGCCAATCACATGGCGGCAACTCAGTGCATTTAGGCATGTAGACATGGTCAAGACAATCTCCTGCAGTTCAAACCGAGCATCAGTATGGGGAAGAAAGGTGATTTGAGTGACTTTGAACGTGGCATGATTGTTGGTGCCAGAGGGGCTGGTCTGAGTATTTCAGAAACTGCTAATCTACTGGGATTTTCACGCACAACCATCTCTAGGGTTTACAGAGAATGGTCCGAAAAAGAAAAAACATCCAGTGAGCGGCAGTTCTGTGGGCGGAAATGCCTTGTTGATGCCAGAGGTCAGAGGAGAATGGCCAGACTGGTTCGAGCTGATAGAAGGGCAACAGTGACTGAAATAACCACTCGTTACAACCGAGGTATGCAGCAAAGCATTTGTGAAGCCACAACACGCACAACCTTGAGGCGGATGGGCTACAACAGCAGAAGACTCCACCGGGTACCACTCATCTCCACTACAAATAGGAAAAAGAGGCTACAATTTGCAAGAGCTCACCAAAATTGAACAGTTGAAGACTGGAAAAATGTTGCCTGGTCTGATGAGTCTCGATTTCTGTTGAGACATTCAGATGTTAGAGTCAGAATTTGGCGTAAACAGAATGAGAACATGGAACCATCATGCCTTGTTACCACTGTGCAGGCTGGTGGTGGTGGTGTAATGGTGTGGGGGATGTTTTCCTGGCACACTTTAGGCCTCTTAGTGCCAATTGGGCATCGTTTAAATGCCACGGCCTACCTGAGCATTGTTTCTGACCATGTCCATCCCTTTATGGCCACCATGTACCCATCCTCTGATGGCTACTTCCACCATGTCACAAAGCTCTAATCATTTCAAATTGGTTTCTTGAACATGACAATGAGTTCACTGTACTAAAATGGCCTCCACAGTCACCAGATCTCAACCCAATAGAGCATCTTTGGGATGTGGTGGAACGGGAGATTCGCATCATGGATGTGCAGCCGACAAATCTGCGGCAACTGTGTGATGCCATCATGTCAATATGGACCAAACTCCCTGAGGAATGCTTCCAGCACCTTGTTGAATCTATGCCACGAAGAATTGAGGCAGTTCTGAAGGCAAAAGGGGGTCCAACCCGTTACTAGCATGGGGTACCTAATAAAGTGGCCGGTGAGTGTATATGTCCCTATTTAGGTGTGTGTGTGTGTGTGTGTAGAGAGTCTGATTAGTGTAGCTTTAGTCTTATTACCTTCCAAGTGTTAAACCAGTGAATCACCCCCTCTTAGTCTTTATGCAGTGCTGAACCTCAAACAATTCACAAGATGAATGAGGTTACAAAGTTAAATGTTGCCCTTGTGTCTGACTGAATAAGAACTTTTTTTGTTGTTGTTGTTTTGTTTTAAACCTGTCCTCTTTCTCTTTTGTTTTCCTCTATATGTTAGGGCAAGTAGAAATACACTTAGCATAGAATATATTTGTTGGCGGAAAGCAGTGTATGCTCCATTAGGCCTACTGGATTGTTGTCAAGGCCCATAATACATTTTTGCCTCCACTTTGCCATGCCTGTGGGTCATTTAAAAGACTGCTGAAGCATCGCCCTTTATCGTACCGCTAGACATAGCAGTATTTGGAAGGGAAATAACTTTTGCAGATTGTAAAGTATCTGTCTCTTATGTACGACTAAGTTTTGTGCCAGTGATCATGTCCTAAATGGCTCTAATCCTCTATCCACGAGGAGCCTATGGTTTTTATGTATCTGTAGAGCACTGTAATATGCTTGTATCATTATTAAAGACTGGGATGTTGATGATACCTTGTTGTTAAAGAATTTAATCCTCCTTGGTTATACAGATGCAACCCCTCTTTGCTAGTTTGTCTATTTGAGTGATTTCCAATACCTGCCCATGGAATGAAGCTATCTTGTTCTCTGAGAGTCCATTATCACTGTAACCGTTGATGGAGATGAATGGAGACAGCTCTCTTCTGTGCTATCTACAGCAGGGGTATTTTCTCTAAGGAGACAAGGGAAGCAGTGGAAGAGAAAATAATTGACAGGATGAACACAAAACAAATGTTTGACAATGAGAAAAAAGTGTGTAAAAAGTGCTAGAAAGAAAGTTTAGAGGTCAGAATTTTCTGCATAAGACCAGATTTTCTGTCCATTGGCCAACTTTTTTTTTTTTGTAACTAAGACCCTGTTCAGAGTCCTGACATTGACAGTACAGAACAGGACTTTAAAACATTTTTTTTTTTCATTCTACGATCCACCTGAGGAATAACCAATCTTGAGACCCACCAATTTTTTTGTTTTTACTGTGGGAAAAGCACAATAAATAGGCCTAAATGTGTTGTCTTTTACTGAACTTGGCATATTTTACTTTCATATTTTTGGCATATTGTTCCATCTGGTAGGCCACTCTGATGGGTACAGTTCATTTCGAGTTCATTCAGTGAAAGATTCATCAGACTGAGTTTGATTCTTTTCGAATGATTATTTTAAAGAACCGAGAGTAATTTGTTTGTATCGATGCTGTTTGTCTAAGCGTGTAGGGCCGCCACTGGAAAGCGTTACAGAAAACACTGCTGTGATCTGTGACACACTTGTGCTGCATTGTTTGAGATACACAGCAAGTGCAGGTTATGCCCATTTGAAATTGAATTTGAGAATCTGGGAAAACATTTTTTTTTTAAACAATTTTCACACTGTTTTCTGTGCTAAACACTTGTTTCTATTGTGTGGCCCACAGTTTGTAAACTGCCATTTTAGTGGATTATTCTCAATTATAAATAGCCATATCATACTACACATTCTGATTTACAAATTACAGTTTAAGTGTTAGTGGAGAAAAAAAATGCTCATCAAAGAAAGATCATCAAAACAAGACGACTGCCAGTACACTGCATATGTGATTTAAAGAGACAAGCCTTTCCAACTGTAAGTTTAACTGCAGTATTCTTAGATTTTATACCAAGGTAGATAAGAATAACCTGAACTGTGTTAATATGACACACAGAATTGCCTCCTCCTGAGAGGTGTGAGCACATCGCTTGTGGCTTTTACTCTTATTTATTTCTAGTCATTTCTGTAGTCAATGTAATTTGCAGGTGTTAAGTAAATCACTATAATTAAAAGGGCTTCTGCAACCTTGTGATAACATACATTATATTCTTATTATCTAGACAGATGCAGATGTGTGAAAATGTTTTATTCATATGAAAATGAGTGAATTTTTTTTTATTCATGTTATGCGACTTTGCTATATTTGTAAAAACAAAAGATTATGGCCTGGTTTCACTGACAGGGCTTAGATTAAGCCAGGATTAGGCCTTAGCTCAATTAGGACATTTAATTAGCTTTTATAAACGTGAAAAAGTCATTGATTTGCATCTTGAGACAAAATATTTTAAGATGTGTAAGTGCAAGTTGCCTTCAGTTAAAACAGCTCAATCATGCATTTTAGTCTAGGACTAGATTTAAGCCTTGTGAAACCGGGAGTAATGTATTTACATATAACGTACGATTAAGCAATCTCAAGGTGCCTGGCTTTCTAAAGTAATCACCAAAAGATTAAAACAGATTAAGTTTAAGATGTGCAACAAATGAATCAAATGTAATACATCATTTAGCTACCACACGACAATGTACATGGTTTGAGGTAACAGTAAAATATATGCAGAGATTTTTGCTGCTTTGAGTTCATTGTGACCTCTGACTGTTGCCTGTGTTGCAGTGAGATCAGTAACTTGGTTGTCATGGAAACAATGCTACAGGACAAGTTCACATCTCTTTAAAGCTGTCAGTGAATTTGATCATTTGCACTTACACATGCATACATTTGCCTGATGGAATATAGTAGTGGGCAACAGTGATGTCCAGAGAGGATATTTGTTTTTAATGACCCTGCTACAGAGTTTGATTATACCATGGTATTTCAAATATGTGGGAAGAACAAAACCCAAAACTTGGTTAAGGATTTTATGACAAAATTATATGGCAAAAAAAAAAAAAAAACTGCAGCTAGATGATTTGTTTTACTATGCACAAAGAATGGATGAGAAAAAACAAAAAGCTCACAGGAAAAAGAACATTGACTACAGCATGATAAAAAAATAACTTAAGATTTCAGTGGTTTTCTCTTGGTTTTGCATGTGCTCATAATTTCTTTGTATCACAGCCTGGCCAAAAAAAAATTGTCTGCACAGTGTGGCATGCTTTTATTGCGTTATCACAAATAAATCCAGACTCCAAGCACAACTACACAATATGCTTTCAAAATATTTAGCACATTTGTAATAATATTTGAATAAAGCTGAAAGATGTCAATTCAATTATTTATCTTATTAATATATTCAATGAAAAGTGAAAAGTGCTGTATCCCATGCCTATGCTTCACACTAGCCAAACGAACCAAACTCTGGCATCATACAGATGTAGGTCTGTACCCAAAACATCCTTAGTTTCATATTATAAAAAGTTTGCCATTTGAAAAGCTTCCATTGAACATCAATGCTGTGGCAGAGCTCAACACCTTTTCTTTGTGAGTTTTAAATGACTCTAGCATAACAATCCTGAGCCATGCTGTGGTGGGTGACAAGGTAGGATTTCCTCCTGCTGGGGTGTTTGTCTTCATAGCCTGACCCTCGGGAAGTGCCGTGTAAAGCTCAATGTCTCATAGTTCGTGCTCCACCACGAGTTCTGTTCGGCCATTTGTCCCGACAGCTCCCATGTCTTGTCTTTCACTCATAGCGACTGCGCTGCTTTCCAGGGCATACTGTCACGCAACTCGCTAAATATTTACCTCATGCTGGTTAAATATAGACAGTTCGCAAAACAGCCCATCCACGACAGGTCCCATCAACATGCTGCTGAGAAGAATGATGGATGGCCTTGCCTGAGAATTTATGACTGTCACAAGCAAAACAGAAAGGAATTGAGGAAATGACTCCTGACGGAAACGGTGAACAATTTTCACCACGAATGTCTGATGTGGTCCTGAACGCCTCTTTAGTGTCATATAAATGCCAAAATGATGAGACAGGACCATGGGGTGTTTTTCTCAGCGGGTGGCGTTCCTAACAAAACACGTTTAACTTTGGGCGACTTTTTGTTTATGGACTCCTAAGGCAAGGGCAAAAACACACAGAACTAGAATTATGGCTTAAGAATTTTATGACTTTCAGGGCCTGAATCAGGGCCAGCGTGGGTGTTGTGCATAATTTGAATCATTGCTGCAAGTTCTGCCTTAATAATACTAGAAATTCTGCAAACATTTATCCTCTAACATGTAGGTTGAATGAGTAAAGTAACCTCACAGATGAACGGATAAAATGGGTAATTTCAAAAACGAGCGAGCGAGTGGTTCAGTGATACAGCATCTCTCTCTCTCTCTCTCTCTCTCTCTCTCTCTCTCTCTCTCTCTCTCTCTCTCTCTCTCTCTCTCTCTCTCTCTCTCTCTCTCTCTCTCTCTATCTCGTATTATGCTGTGTACAAGGGATGTTTTAACTTCTACTGGTGCAAAATTTTGCATCAGATAAAAAAAGATAAACTATATATATGAACAAAACTTATTTGATAACAACTGTTCTAATATCAATGGTCAAACGGAACAGTCCTAAATAACGTGTCGTCTAATGAAGAGCCACAGTTCTTTTATCAAAATTTCACGGTCAGCTTGGATGTGCATTGACAAAGACTTTTTAATTGATAGACAATCAATCACAAGTCGTGTAACAATATATTGTAAAACAAAAATGCCACAAGATGTATTGTGGATAGTGACAATATATATTATATGTAATTCACACAAAATTAATGTTTTTGACTGATTTGTTTTAGCATTAAACATGGTAATGGTGCATCAAATATGGTAAACCCAGAAGCTTACACATTTGAGCATTCATGTTTATTAATTATTATTAACAAATTGCAAATAAAATGCAATATTTAAGACCTTTTTTTTAATGCATCTAGTCAGAAACAGAGTGCAATATGTGTCTAACATAGTTCTGCATTTTTAGCAGAATCATGAATATTTCTATTCTGGTGTCACCATAGCCCTGTGCATGAGGAGAAGGACCTCGTCCAAGCCTTTTCAAGCCCATTTCTGATGTAACACCAAGTTAAGCCTTTTAATGAACAGTACTTTTTGTTAACTATTTACCATATGTTAATTATTACTAATTTTTTTAATAATTAAAACATCTCAACTCTATTTTGACTTTGCTCGAAGTATCCTAAATATTGTGAGATCAGTATCATGTATCAAACAGAATCGTGACATGAGTGTACAGTTACACCCCTATCTGTTCGGCCTGGCCTTGTTGGTGAAATCTGGTGAACACAATTTAATCTGACTGCACTTGTCAACACAAAGTGTTTCTAAGAACTTGCCATTTGCTCTTTATTTTTTGGACACTCTTATTAATGAATCCAGCTCTCAAATACATGATGTTCCCATGGAAAATATAACGACTTTTCCTTGTTGTTCTCAGTTGAACAGTGTCAAAAAAACTCTAGCTTTCAAGAGCCAGCTGTCAATGTGTTGTACAATTCCTGACCTTTAGATTAAACCGTTTCTCTGTGCTCCAGTAAAGTGATTCTTAAAAGTGATATTTTAAAACTGTACTCGAAATATCCAAAAAGCATAAAGCCGTATAGTCTAAGCGTTTGTTTGGTTGCATCCTTTCCGTCCAAGATTTCAAAACACAATGACCCACCTATCAGGAGACACTACATTTTAAAGGTTGCATTAAAGGGCAGAGCGTACTGTTACTGGCCGGTCTTTGTGTGTTTGGGGGAGATGGGGGTTGGTATCGACAGATCCTCTAACTGATGTCTCCAAATCCTCAATGAATAATTCATTTTGTGTGCAGGGGACAAGATCCCTCGGCTGAGCTTTCATCTCCAAGACTCCAGAATGACCGATGTCAACCTCATGTAGAGTTCATTTCTCCTCTGCTCCCAAAGTCAGGGGTGTCACCTCCACACTGAAATGTTCAGTTAAGACTCATGTGAAATATTTATGCGATCCAACTAATGGCGCTCCATTTTGTGATGACAATGAGTTATCGATGTTTTAAGCAGTGTAAACAGCACACTTCGTACTATATGAAGATTGATCCCACATTAAATGTGATGTGACAACATGACGGCTCTTCATACGCAGCTCACTAATTTTCAGCTAGTTCAGCCCATTTTAAATAATAATGTTTTTGCTCCTGGCTGACACTTGTTAATTATTCTAATAGCTCTGTTTTGAATTTAATTTTCATTTATTGAGAGGCAAGAGGTGAAGGGTTTACCGCAGGAACTTACAGCATGCGATCATGGCCTGTCTAAGGTCATGTTTTATTCTCTTTGTAGTTTTTAGTCTGTGCTGATTTTCGACCTTTCACGGTTGGTACATTTGTTTATTTATCTTAACAACTACAGAGACTGATGTGTTTGACCTTTCACTTTGATGAAACGGTATTTGTGCTGCTACAACTAAAAGCCCCTTTGGAGGTTATTGTGTTTGTATATTGTAGTATAATTGACAGCTTCTCTTTGGCCATCTAACGGATACATTTGGCTTTTTCCTCTGAATTTCACCTTTAGTTAATTGGGATAAATGAGGTGGTTAGTGTATGTGTGAGCGTGGAAGGATGCCATCTGTGTGTGTGTGTTTGATGCAAACGCTGTACAGGGCTCGACATTAATGGTTGTCCACTTGCCCGTGTGACACACAAGCATGAAAAGGCGGCTCAGTTCCTATTTACATTTAGTCCGGATGGAAACTAATGTCAAACCTCATTGGCTTTTGCACATTATGTGTCCAAATGTCATGATGTTTGAGGTTCGTTTCAGCATATTTGTTTTAGTCTTGATCTGATATGTGAGTGAATAATGGCTTAGATTTGTTTATAAAAAAAACACTTAAAGCACACCAGTTGAGTTGTATATATTAAAGTGGCATTCAGTAGTAATTAATGGCTTGTGAATAACAAGGGGGTAATCCACCAGCCGGAAACTGAAGCTTCGCTTGGGGGTCGCCATTGTAGCAGACCATCACCTGCTGTTAGCATTCCATTGACTCCCATTCATTTTAGAGTCACTTTGACAGCGAATAACTTTACATCTGGGGCGTCCAAAGACTCCATTTGTCCATTATTTACTTCTTAAGAAACAGGACAATGGATAAAAGGCTCCATTACTTTGTATCTTACGTTATGGCCCCGTAGAAGCCGTTTTTGTAAAAATAGGCTAACGATTGCATCATAACCACGGGACGCTCTGTCGCACAGTAGAGAAATTACCGTATAGACAGAAGGAGAAGCTCGTAGGCAATCTTTTACTTTCTATGAGGCAATCGGGTGGACATGGAGGCATAAAGTCAAGGGAGAAGCCCATAGATAGAGAGTTCATAAAAGCAACAGGACAAAATATTTCAACAACGGATTTGTTTCAGATTTCAATTCAGATTTGTCTCGGCACAGCTACTAGAAGGTCAGAATGGTTGCTCACGTCACATCTACATCGTCAAGCTCAGTTTGAGCCTGTGCAGTACGCTTGGCTATCAGGAAGTGAGTGCTTCTAATGGGCTTCAAATTTCTCCGTTGAAATCTATGGGGTCGCTTTGTCCATTTCTTTTACTGTCTATGGTGAATAATAGCATTAGCATCGGTTTTCTTTGTGTACTTTTAAGTACCGTACCGATATAACAATGGTGTTAGATGCTGCACTGCCACTTATCGACGTGGATCATCATGATCGTCTCTTAGTTTTAAAGAGAAAAAAAGAAGCAGCTTGGGCATAACTACTTAGGATTTTGTCCACGATCAAATCTTTCCAGCTTGTTTATACTAAAGTTTGCTCTCTTTTTTGTTTTTGTTGGTCTTTCTGTCTTGTTCTGGCTTCATCTCTTTTCTTCTGATTCGACCATACAGGTACTGATTCTCTCATTATTATTAAGCAATAATAAAAAGTTTCACTCTTCGCATCACCAACCAACATTACACTATAGCGTATCTACAGAGGCAGCAGCCAATGAATGTGATGATTCTCTTTTATATTTAGTGAAGCACCGCAGGTCGTGTCGTTTCAACATGGATAATTAAATTGTTTAGGTGGGCGACCCGCACCATAAATAATTAAAAGACTTTTTATAAAAAGCTATTATGAGTAGTATCATGTGAGTGTACAGCATTCAGATGACTCTTCACAAAACCACAATTTGATTTCATAATATATAAAACTTAAATTGCACCAAACTACTGAATGTAACTTTAATTTTACAGTACCTTAATGTATTTTTGGAGCTTGAAAGTTTTGAGTCCCATTGACTTTTATAATCTCTTTTTAATTATCTTTTGTGTTACGCTAAACAAATAAAATCATACAGGTTTGAAGCGACATGAAGGTGAGTAAATGATGACACAACTGAAATTTTCCAGGGAGTGAACTATCTCTGGAAAACCGAGCCTTGGTATTACAATATGTCCTCCACTTTGAATGCAAATGAAATCACAGATATGCCTACCATGTTATTCAGACATGCATCCAAGGCAGTGAAACTTCAGCACATTACAGATTCACTTAAGACATTACAAAGTCTCTTAACATGGAGCCATTGGCTGTATTGTCTCATGTAGATCTTCGGTTATAAGATTATTAATTTTTCCTTTAATGATATTTTGCAGGAGAGCAATGGATCACTTCTGTTCCTGTTTCACTGCGGTTAC